AAATGGTATAGTCATATTGAATTTCCCTTGCTCTCTATTTTTCATTATCACATTTAACGCACTTTTTATGATGTGTAAATTGCATTCTGCCTTATAATCTTGTTCTTTAACACAAAGTTTAAAGCTATTTTAAGCAGTTTCTTTAAATACCGCACGTACGGGGTATAATATCCATTCCAATAATGTTTTATGTAAGTACATCTCATCCGATATTTAACATAAATTATTTATTTAACAATTTACATTTATCATAAGCGCGTTCGAGTTGACCGGCCAAGTGATTCAATAGTCATAATGTACGAAAAAGATGAAATCTACAATTTACAATTATTACCCAAATATCGGGTTACGTTCGCCTACATCAAATCCATGGTCTTCAATGCATCTGTTTCTTTAGAGCATGCACAAATCCATATGGAAACAATAGAAAAATAATACTAGGGCGAGAAACCGCAAGCAAGAGAAAAACGAATTTCTCTGTCCAAATTATAGCAAATACAATATGAAGTATATACTTACACCTTGGATATCCTGTTTTGAATACATATGCAGCAGTGTACCAAAGAATTTTATATAAGATGTATTTTTTATTATGCTTGAACAAATTTATATTATTAACGACGAAATATGTGAAGAGTGCTATTCAAATATATTATCATTCAGAAAGATTTTTACGTTGAGTTAGTACATTGCAAACGAACATCATTAGTAAATACAATGAATATGTGCAATCTATTTTGAAGATATAGCTTACAGAAGGGATGTTTAAACATGATTTTTTTTGTCAAAACGAGTGACCATACAACAAGTATTTAAGTCCACATAGGACTATTTTAACATTCATTAGGAACAAAAGAAAACTATGAACATATATATTTGTTTCAACGTGAACGATCATGCAACACGTATATAGCGTTTAGTGAGATGTTTAGACAGTCAATAGCATACGCTGTATACATGTTCAAGCATAACTGACCATACAAATGGGACTCCATTGAGCTTTTTTGACGTACATGCAACATGGATTTTATTTTGACATGACGAGAGTTGATTTTTCTTTTTAAATTTGCAAACTAATTGATGATGGTGTGGACCAATAAATTGTGTGCATCATTCCTTTAACTCTTTTTTCCCCCAGAATAATAGTGTTTTATTGTGGAAAATGATCATTTAAAGCAAAAAGCGACTGGAACATGATCATAAAAAGTATATAATCAAAACCGGAATCCCATTCTGTAAATTAGTATACGAGAAGAGAGTTGATTCCCTTTAACATTATAAAATCAGACTTATGTTAGTATATCACTACAAGAGTTATTTCTCTTTATCAGTTGAACGCCATTGAAGCTTTGTCTCTTCTACAAGAGTTATTCCTCTTTATCAGTTGAACGCCATTGAAGCTTTGTCTCTTCTACAAGAGTTATACCCCTTTATCAGTTGAACGCCATTGAAGCTTTGTTTCTTCTACAAGAGTTATTCCTCTTTATCAGTTGAACGCCATTGAAGCTTTGTTTCTTCTACAAGAGTTATTCCCCTTTATGAGTTGAACGCCATTGAAGCTTTGTTTCTTCTACAAGATTTATTCCCCTTTATCAGTTGAACGCCATTGAAGCTTTGCTTCTTCGTAAGCAGACGACTGTTATTACAAATTGGAGAAGAAGAACAAACAAAAAGGCTCCAAACATTCCCCAGAATTACTCTTAACTGTAGGTTCTGTTATCTTCAGCAGTAACTGAAATACGTATGTTAAAATTCAAAAATAAAATTAGAATAAATAAATGAAATATATAATAATCAGTAAATAAACATTGGCGTAATTGATATGAATGAAATCAAATATTATTATTATTTTAAACATGTAGTAGATAAAACTACAATTTAATTTTTTTACGAGTTTATCTATTCGGTTACATTTCTTTTATATCATTTTCAATTGTCAATACAATATAGATTTTAAGAATTAAGAACCTATATTTCAAGTTAAACTATAATACTGAGGACTTTAATATGGAATTTATTTTGTCCAAACACAATAGTTACCTTTTTGATTTTCTTGTGTTGTCGAAGTCGAAACTGTCGTAGAAACTGGGTTTTCGTTTTTTTCGGTCGTTTTGAATCGGAAATTTCTACATTCTGGGAATCCGTCTGGTGGTCGTGGAACGCGCGAGAAGGAATCATTTAAGAGTAACCCTAGACCTAATAAATTATAATAAAATGTCATAAAATCATACTCAACATCATTAATCGGTCCATAGTCTGACATAGAACCAAAATTTGAAATTGAAAGAAACATAAATTTGATAGTTACTTGATAGAACACCTTTTTAAAAAGATATAAGATCTAATAACGCAATGTTTTTTTTCACCAGACAATGGGCGGATAGTTTAATTCTGAAACGCTGAAAACAAAAATAGTGAAACAATACTGATACTCTGCTAAATGAAGAGAATGACAAGAAAATCAGTTAAACGATCTGACAGGATAAAATCACAATACCGTAGAAAGTAAGGAACTTTTATTTAAAAATGACCGATATTTACATTGTAGTACCTTTTTGACCATGGTATTCCTGGTGACAATGAATAAACCAAAGTCCAGGATTTTCTGCTTTAAATCTAATGACCACAAAACCACCAGAAGGCACAGTTACTGTATCCTTGCGCGGCAACTTGCTTAAATCTACATTCCATGACTCCTCGGAACATGTTATGTTGCCGTAACATAACCCGGTACACTATATATTATCGTTCATCCCGTATTTTGGATATAGTGCCGGGTTTTCTGTTCCATAGCCAATTTTCATGACATGGAATGAATATCCGTGAACATGTATTGGGTGACTTACAACTGCATTCAAAAAGCCAGCACTGACAAAATTTATTTGCACTATATCGCCAAAGTCAACATTTAATGGTCGGTTGCATGTTTAAAATTTCTTAGCGTTGCAGTTATGTGACTTGGCACATATGTCAGTCACTTCTTTCGGTTGCGTTAAAGCGGACACAGTTGGCAGCTTTCGGCTTACTCCATTCATATGTCCCATGATAACATTATCTTCGCGTACAGCGAATCCAACATTAACAAAAAATTCCTTAAATTTTCCTGATTTGTGATCTGGAGCTGGTTCATTTTCAGAAGCACTACGCATTTCATCAACATGCAAGCATGTCCAGTTAGGATAAGTTTCGAAAGGGCAATTAACAACATAGTCTGGATTACCTGCCCTTTGTCTAAACAAAGAGTCAGGCACAAACCAAATAATGGCGGCGGCGATGGAAACGGTAAGTTTACGAGCAAATAGCAAAAGGTGGTTCATTGTGATAGTATTGACTTTCTGGTCAATATCAATGGTGTAGTTTTCATTCGTGTAAAGTGTTCTTATGGAGCTATTACTTATGATCAGATTTTACATTCCTGACAAGTTGAATATTTTTCGGACAAATTTACACATAGTGTAATTTCGGACAATATATATTTAATTGATAACTTTTATCTTCATATATCCTTATCGTGGCTTGTGACAGCATCTTACTGTACTGAAGTAGATAATTACTGTACATTGTGCGTAAATTATGTCCTTGCATATAATAAATGCATTATCAGTGATCATGTTTCTTTAAGAATAAAATACATTTTAGGTAAATTCTAACAAATATCCAATATACATTGAACTTCTTAAAAAAATATTCTGAAAACCTAGGTATCGAGCTGAAATCTGAGAATTTCAACACCCATCAATATTGAATAATTAAACATAATTTTATTCAATTTCAGATGGATCACAACTACATTAGAGCCCAAAATAGGCTGCCTGGTTTCCAGGTAATAGAAATGCGATCTGGACCGGACCACTCCTATGTCAGACACAAAGACTCTACCCCTCAGAAACGGGGAAGTAAACGAAACTTATCGACTCCAACAGGAAAGACACCTAAACATGAAAATAAACGGATTGAACTGGTAAATTATTTTTCTTTTACTACTACCTTCTATTTTATTAATTAATATATATACTTGATACAGATACATATATGTTATATTGATATGGATATGGATTTGGTTAATAAGTTTAACTCAAATAGTTTTTATAACTTTGAGTTATTCTTTTATTCAAGACATGACCATGCTCCTTTATGTTTTACAGAATCTTATAAACCATAAAATTTCAATATTTACATTGAATACTTGTTAAATGTACATGCAGCGTTTTTTTTCTCTACTTTGGGAATGGTGCCGGTACCAGACTGATTGGGAAAAAATGCGTTATTTTGACTAAAATTGGGAATTTTTTTAATGCATTTTTTCAGCTACAAATGAGATTAGGCATCATGAATAAAGATAGCTAACAGCTTCTACTGTCCAGATAGAACTATTGAGTGGTGATTTATATGAATATGTTGGATTTAAATGATTTTAGAAAAATCACTTGGCCTTGTGGGAATTTTGAACAGCCATTTTGGGAATTTAACATTGGAAATTGGGAATTTTAATGTCTATTTTCTATTGGGAATGGTACCGTTTTAGGGTAGTAGTTATATAAAGAAAAAAACACTGACATGTCTGTAAATATCTGTAAACTCGAGTTATTACTGAAATAAAAGATTTATTAAGTTAAGGTGTCAGATGTGCATTTCATTGCTGTATTAAACAACATTTTCCAGGTTCCAGCTCTTCACATGAAGTTGCAGCCCACCTGTTGTCGTCACCCTTGCGAGGAAGTATTATTGTGGAACTTCTGAATGAAATTGAATTTGCAGCAAAAGAATGCTGCAACAAGGAAAGTGTTTTGGCCCAAAAGGAATTCTGTGACTTGACTGATTTTAACTGGCATGAACTCATTGGTGAACTTCTTGAACAACAACCATTGCTAGCTGATGTTCTCTTGGCAGTGTCACTACCAACATCAAAAATAGGGAATACCAACAGTGTTCATAAACTTATACCAGTTTTATCAACTGTGTTTGGAATGCTGATGAAAACCAGATACCAAGAGCTGTCTTTAGTTCAGAATATCATTGCAATGACTTTGGCTAATGAACAGACAAGCCAAAAAGTAAATTGTGTCACAACTATGTTTTGTTGCCTTCAGACATTGTGTTAAGAGCCCAATGCCACAAACTATTGACTAATCAAAAAATTGGATTGAATAAACTAGAAAAAAATGTCTCTTAAATGGACATTCCCCTTTATCTGGTATAAATCAGTGAAGTATTTAATAAGATACGTCTTAAAACATTGGATTTGTTTTTATTTTTAAAACTCCAACATATCAGAAAAAGTTAAGTGGCATAGTACCAAAATAATTAAAGTTTTTGAATTTGGGCATTCAAATGTTAAGAATTCTGTTCATGTTCATTGCACATGTTTTATCTATGGAAACTTTATTATTATTGTTTTTAAGTTTATGCGTTGTATATTTTTTTATTATGCATTTGACTATGCAAATGTTATTTTTAATTTGTTTTCAAGTTGGTGTTTAGGGTTGTATTACAGAAATGTTCATGATTTTTATGCTCCCCAAAAAATTTCGGGGGAGATTATAGTTGCCGGGTTGTCCGTCCGTCAGTCAGTCAGCAATTTGCATTGTTAAGCAAGAGTCAGGCATTTTCCAGTCTGTACGGGTTGTTTGTAAATACAGGGGGTAAACCCGATACTAACAGTCCAGCAGATTTGGAGATGGAACATCGCACATGAAAATTTGGGACGCTTAGTTGAAGGTCAAGGTCACAGCATGACCTTGCAGCAAAATCATGTCTGGCCCATAACTTGGTTGTTTGCAGACAGATTTAACAACTATTTTTGACAAACTACTTCTGTGTCCGATACCTACTCGGGGAGCATTACCCGGTTCAACCGGCTCTTGTTCTGAACTAAAGTAGTATTATTTGGTTGCATGGTAAAATATCTATATTTTTTATCTTTTTATTACAGTTTTTTTCTATTGATGATTCTGTAATATGAACAAGGCCCCTATTTATGTTCATAAATGATGTTGTCAATGACCAAAAAAAAGAATAACTGTACTGAAAGTACTGTGCTCATCTTTAAAGGACACAACACTTTATCAAAACTGTCCGTTTACATTGTCACCAATTGCAAATATTACTTAGGGCTGTTCTAGGAAAAAGTGTTGGGGGTGGAACGGAACGGAACTTAAAAATGGGGTTACCACAATACAATTTTATCTTTTTTTGGTACAGTCCATATGGAAATTCCAGGAAACACCCCCACCCACCGAATTTTAATTGATTTCCGTTCCACCTCCCCCCCTGGGGATGCCGTTTTCCCTGGAACAGCCCTTAGTCAAAATGTTCATTTAGATAGCTTTTAAGTGTTTGTATATACATATTTATATAATATATAATATAAATATAATGTCTAGTATGAAATTAATGGGAAAAGTAAATAAAGAAAAAAATATTTTTAGATTTTCTTTTGTTTGTTTTTAGATTTCCAAACACATTTAAGTGGAATTATTTAACGCAATCACAAATGTATATTCTTTTAAAGTCTTTCCTGAATTCTTTGCCCCATTCAATGACACAATGAGCCTCATCTATTACAAGAAACTTGTCATACTCTTGAAATTGAGATGAGCGAAAAAGTTTGTTTACTTCAGGAGAGTTTAAAACAGTTTCTGGGTGAAAGAAAAAATATTTGGTATTTGATAAGTCAATAGTGTCTATATTCATTGACAAGGAAAATGATTGTCCACTGAGTTTCACCGTTTGCTGTTCAATTATAGCGTTTAAAGGCACAATAACAATAACAAGACACTTTGGAACAAAAAACGGCAGAATTTCATATATAAACGATTTTCCATAACCAGTTGGAAGTGCACAGATGCAGTCTTTTTTAGATAATAATGTTTGTATTGCTTGCAGCTGTAGCGGTTTAATTTCTGTTATTTTGCAATTGAACTCTGTAGAGTAGTTCTGCAAAGCATCTGTGATTGACTGGCTACTTATATCCTGAAAACAGAAAAAAGACATGACACTTTTATTATAAACATAAAAAAGCCAGGTCATTTTTAATTAGATTGGTGGGGGTACCACATTCTATACATGTATAAATACTAACAATCAGCTTCTATTGAATTAAAATTAATATCCATTTCTATGTTCATAAATGTGTGTGAGGTGCAGTGGCGGATCCAGGATTTGGCCTTAGGTAAATCATTGAAAGTGTTAAAAGTTGACAGTATTGCAGTTAGTTATTTTAAGCGTGTTTTGGTGCCGTTTGGGCCACATATCTATTATAATAAAGCTTAAAATGATGCGCGAGCGAGGAAAAATTGAGAAAAATAAGCGTTTTTGGGCATAAAAAATCATAAGTCTGCAGCCATTGGGGGGGGTGCGCCGGGTGTGCCCCCCCCCCACCCTGGATAATTTTTGTAAAACTGTTCTACAGAATGAATGTTAACATTACAATATTATCAATGTATCAAAACTGAATAAGCATTTATTCCGTATTTTCTGTAAGTTTGACACAAACCATATCAGACTTAATGTTGGTGGTGGGACGTTTGCCAGGATATTGCCAACACGGTATTGATCACAATACAAAACAAAATCATTTTACAAGAAAACTTATGATTTCATATCCGAAATATCACAATCTTCGTATTTGTCCGAAAAGTACTCAACTTATTGAAGTTTAAAAAAAATAACATGTGAAAATGCTCCACGAAAATAAACGTTATTTTTAAGAATTTTATATATACATATCGATTAAAAATTCAACAATATCCCGATGAACCACTTTTTAAAAATATTTGGTTAACTTACAGCTATCATCGCGTCGGCCATTGTTTCGTCAATGCCAGACTTCTATTTGTTTACAATAGAAGCTGGGAACCAGACTATTAACAACAGTACACGGGTCATTTGATGAACATATTTTCGGTGCTGTAAACGGATACTGTATGGGGGCTCCTGTGTATCTAAGAATTGCAAAGGCACTTCGGTTATGATATTTTTCAAGGGTCTCTGCACGAATCCAGAAGTTGCCGACCAACTGATTAGCTTCAGTAATAAAGTCAAACCGTTCCCCGGTACTCAAAATGACAGAATCTGTCACAATTGGTTCAATATCAGATCCATCTGCTGAAACGAACGTAAGTTTGTGGCCATCTACGGAAACTTTGTATTGAAAGAAAATCCCCCTCCTATAACTCTAAACCGATACTGTTTTCCCTTTTCTACCGTAAAAATAGTAAGAGGTGTTTTTGTTAAATGTTCCCCTTGCTTGTTTAATACACGGCCTCTGCCGTTGATCAAAGACGACGTGACTTTAATAGTAGGTGTGTATGATCCATCAAGTCGCTCGGTGTTTCGTAAGCGTTCACCTTCAGTATTGAAAAATTCTAGCATTGCCGAGCTAACATACATTTCATCAGACGATTGTGCATTATTATAGTCTTGGATCATCATCACTTTCTCTTCAATGTCTTCTGTTCTTCTCTCCTTTACGATAAAAGCACCGACTAGGCCCATGCTTACCTGGGGACCAGTGTGGGAGTGGTAATAAATGTTTCATGTCGGTTTGGTGAGAAATTGTATGTAAACGTTTGTCCAGGTAAGATTGGACACTGTGTAACGAAAGCTGCACCATCCATCCATGGAGTCCCTTTCATGTTAATGCCATGAAAGTGAACCGTCACACCGTGACTAGTCATGTGATTCCTAACATGATTGATCACTTCTTGATTGACATAGACAGTTATTGTTGGTCCTGGCATAGTTTTATTAAAAAGTATTAATGCTCGTTCTTGCGTAGAACCGTCGGCTAGCACTACATCTTCGGGATCAACAGTAGTATTTGTGGTATCTCCATGAATCATTGATATAAACCTTTTCATTGTTATTCCGTCTCATTGGCAACCATGAACTGACATCTAGATACAGCTCACAAGACTTTGCCTCCATATGGCACTCGCCATCATGACCATGAACTCCACAAAACAGGCCTATTGTGACGATGATTATTACAGTGATTCTCCCGCTTGTCCATTCGGTAAACATTTTGACTGAAACGGTACATAACAGTTAATGAATTATTTATCATCGGAATGTGTTACTTAAAACACACACACGCGCGTGAGCAATACATGTATTTCAATAAATTTATAGATATCATAACAAATAATTTTAATACGTTCACTTTATTGATTTACAATTAATGTTTTAAAACGAATCTTTTGTAAATTTTTGATAATACTTCTAAATATGATCTTAAGATAAGATGTTATCTTTTACAGGTTTTTATATTATTATTATATTTATATTTGTAAATTTAATCAGGTTAGACAATGTTATCAAGCATCTTCAATAGATAAAAGAAGAATACCTAAATATAATTATTATAAGAGTCGAAAGTTCCCGACAATACGTATATTTCTCATCCACTCGTGGATCGATGGGTTGTATTTTACACAGTAGATATCACGTGTGTTTTTTAAAATTTACTCAGGTATGGAGAGCCGAAGTACAGGTAGGTGATGGGTGAACTTTGGTTTAAAGCTGAAATTTGATTTATGGTTTATACGTATATGCATGCAATGCAACCAAACTGATACAAAAACTGTTAAGTTAATAAAATTACCGGATATTATTCAACTTTTTTTGATATGTAAATTACATTCCTCCATGTTAAATTACTCTTATCATATAACCGAAACGGACAAGTTTTTAGCCCGCTTAAATGTAGCATGTATGGGGTATGCACTCCATATGATTTGTTTTTTTTTTAATCCAAATACATATCATCCGATATTTAATTAGAATTTTACATTAATTGTTAGCGCATTCTACACTAAGGTAAAGTGCTAACAATTACTTTCGGGGGTCAAGTACGTAGTGAAAAAAGATCAGTTATTATTAAGATACTGTGTTACGTTTTCAAATTTTTTCCTTAATGTGCATTACTTCATTACCTTCTAGATGGCATGCAAAAATTCGAAATTGAAAACTTAAAAGCTGATACCTCCGGGAGAATTAGCAAAAAGAACTGAACGAATGTCACTATGCAAACAAGACTTAGTCACAATATAAAGTATATATTGTACTTACTTGTTAAGTCTCCAGTACTGAATGCACAGAAAATTATATAACAAACCTTATATGTAATATCATAATGTGTTTTAACTATATTTTATGCTTACGACGAAACTTGAGAAGGGTCCGAATTTAAATATATTGTCATTTAAATAGAAAATAAGACTCGGATGGGTGCTTTCAACCAGATACTTGCAATTGTTGTTTGCTAAAATGTCGTCTGCTTTTTAATTTTATTCGTTTTCGCATTTATTTTAAAATGATAAAAGATAATTTTAATGATTATCAATATATCTGAACCTGACGATACGCTGAGATTCTGACAGTCCTTTTTATGGCATTAAGTCGTCTGGAAAATTTATGTGGCTGCATCCGCACTACGACTGTCGCATCTTAGTATGTTAAGGGTTAGGAGCTATGTTACAGTCATTTAACGTGTTAAATTTAGACTCCATCGATGCCTTTTACATGACACGACAGGAAAACTAAGCGTTCTTTTCGAGAATTGAGTACCATTTGATGATGATCTGGTCTAATGACCTGTGTGTAAACTTAGAGAGATTATGTGCGCGCTACAATTATTTCTCAGGAATGTTTAGATTATTTCTCAGGAATGTTTAGATTATATCTCAGGAATGTTTAGATTTTTTCTCAGGAATGTTTAGATTATTTCTCAGGAATGTTTAGATTATTTCTCATTTCTCAGGAATGTTTAGATTATTTCTCAGGAATGTTTAGATTTTTTCTCAGGAATGCTTAGATTATTTCTCAGGAATGTTTAGATTATTTCTCAGGAATGTTTAGGTTATTTCTCAGGAATGTTTATTATGCAAAGGTAACATAAATTAAAAAAACCCAAATGGTTTAAACGCTTTAAATAACTTAAATCAGGCTAAAAACCGGCTACTGCAGAGTATATTTCTTCATTACTGTATATTTATTTCAAGTGCACCGATTCATCTATGTAATACTTATAAATTGTAATGTTATTTGTATATACATTTTTAGACCTCAGTGGTGCCATGTTATGGTGAATAAAAAATTCAGTGGCTTATTTGTAACTGAATAAAAATTCTTGGAAAAGAACGGAAAAATTAACGACGGCGACAACGAAGAAAAATACTAAGATAAGCATTTGAAATTTTTGAATACTATTCGCATACTTTAAAATACATTAGTAATTTATAACAACAAGTGGTATCATTACATTGAACAATTAAAGCTTTCCTTTGATTTCCTGAAGTGAGGTCTAAGGTCTAAAAAAATGAAATTTGAAATATTACAAATATCAAGTGAAGCACTTAGGACATGCTTTCGGCAAAGGTAAAACAGAGAAATTTACTCAGCATTGCAATTGAATGTCGATATTTTTGTGCTATTTTTAGCCGGATTTTAGTAAAAAGCGTTGCAACGATTCTTATTTCGGATTAAATTTCACAATGAAAGAGATTATTCCTGAACAACGGGTTAAGAGGATGACCTGAAAATTTGCACACAAGTTATTGTTCAAAACTGCATCTATTGGAACACATATTCCCACCATATCCCTTTTAAGTGGCATTTTGCTTTATCCAAGCATAATGGTCAATGAAGAGGTTAAAATCAAAATAACCTGACATTTTGCCATAACTTTGACTTTGAAAAATAATAAAAATATCCATGTGGCTAACGGAAATGTCTACAATTATCATTCAGAATATATCAGTAGCGTTCGTTTTTTAAATGTTGAATTCTGCTTAAGCCGGTGCTAGTGGGTGTGGACGGTTACTTGCACTTTCCAGTACCGTCCATTAACAGACTCAATATAACCGAGCCGCCAGCAACATTTTTAGGGATTCTGTTTCGTTTTTGTGATTGTGTAATAAACATTTTTCATTTTCCATTATTACTTAATCAGAATTATAATAGTCAATATTTTGAAATATATTACTAATTATACGCAACATGACAGGGCAAAATAAGCAATAAATCACTAACATTATATGAGCCACGTCACGACAAAACCAACATAGTGCGTTTGTGACCAGCATGGACCCAGGTCAGCCTGCGCGTCCGCGCAGTCTGATCAGGATCCATGCTGTGCGCTATCAGTTTCTCTACTTGTTATAGGGTTTGTAAGCGAACACCATGGATCCTGATCAGACTGCGCGGATGCGCAGGCTGGTCAGGATCCATGCTGGTCGCAAACCCATTATGTTGATTTTGTCGTGACACGGTTCATATTTCATAGAAAGAGCATATTGAATATCGAGCATCTGAATATGACATCTCTATCATTAACCCTTTCCAAGGCACATTAAGCAAACCGAATGACTAATGTAGGTGCGGATAACTAACACCTAAATCCCAGTTAACTTGTATGATACTGTAAAACTTTATTACTTCAGTAGTAGGTAATGCTTATTGTTACATGCCTTTGCCTTTTACTGGTTTATTGGTAATTCTGTTGTTTATTGTTCTCAGACAAGTGTATGCCCAACTTGTTTTGCATTCAATATATGGTTTAATATTCACTTCCCGAAATTGATTTTCATGAATTAATATTGACCTAAATTAATTCATTGGTATGCAAAATTAACAAGATTTGATAACTTTTCAAATACTTTACAGTTACCAAACCTCAATGTTAGATAACTCAGATGCATATATATGTAACATGGCACCGTAGATTAATGTCTGCATATTTTTTATTTTGGTCTTTTGAAGTACATTTGTATTCATGCACAGCAGTTTCGCTTCTATGGCAACCAGAATGCACAAAAATTAACCATTAAACATAATGCGATAATATTTTGTTAAAGCAGTATGCCTCA